GTAGCTGGCGACATTGTTACGCTTTCCCGGGGAAGTTAATTCCAGTTAAAGACTTGGCTGGTTTATTCGAGTAACTTTACAATAGTTTCATTATGCGTCTTAAGTTAAATTATGTACCAACTTATGTTTCTCTTTGTGTTGTATTTTTGATAAACGACCGTGCCACTGAAACGTTTCAAGCGCCTTCATAAATATATTACCGTTCATGAAAGGCAGCTTAACGTATATGAAACATATGCATATAAAAAAATAAACGTGACGAACGAGCACGCAATCTACCTGATAGACATTGCTGTGGCTCATAGACACCTACATTTATCATCTATCAAGAAAATGTAGATTCGTTGTCACTACTAAGGACTAAGATACCCAAACGAAACACAATAGCAATAAACTGCTATTTTATACTGGTATTCTGTGGGAAGGCGTTCCTTCCCCGGTCGAACGGACTTAATAGTGTTACGACCATAATATGGCTGCAACATGGCCCTACCACGTACTCATAACACAACACCAAAAACAAAAGACAAAAGCGACCAACATCAAACATAGATGGCTACAAATGCGTTGTTATGTTTGAGGACCAAGATTGATTTTCTCAGCGCTGGTATTATTGGTCCTTCATATTTACAGAATATAATGCATTGTTGATTAGCGGCAAATATACGGTCGTTTTCAGTTCCTTTACAGCCTATAGTAAGTCTAAGTCCACTGCTGAACATAGGCGTAAGTTATAGATTGCCTCATACACTTTGCCACGCTACGCAAACGGGATGGCAACCGCTGCTTTTTATCCTATCTCCTGATTCGTTTCCCTCTGTCTCCTCTTAAGACACCCATGGGGTAGTGGATATTTTTACAACGCCACTACACGGTCCGAGAGTTTATAAGGTAAATTTACCTAGAGGACCTAGACGGACGATTAAAAAACTACCATCGAAAAGGAGCTCTAGGGTCTAGACCCTAGAGCTCCTTTTCTAGTCTAGACTACCGAGTGGTACTCAGATAAAAATTAAAAAAATATCATCCATGTTTTAGATACTCAGTCCATTCAAGTAATATTTTTTTTTATATTACCCCTTTAAAAGATATTAAAGGCTATTTATTACTTTAGTAGATTTACGATATATACGAGAATACTCAAACCGGCAACAAGCAGCTGTGCCGAAGGTTCGAGACGTCTAATACTGCGAACGTCAATTTGCCTACCGAGTACGACGCTTAAGGCAAATCCCAGCAACGTGAGGAGTCCATATCCAGCATTAGATTATACAGAATTATGAAGAAAAGTTTGCGATCTATAAAAATAACAATTCAAAACTAAGAAGAGTTGTACCATTGACACGAATATATGCAATCGGTGCGTCCAACTCAAAGTGTGTGCAGTAGTACACTTAACTGAATTGGCAATTTGGCAACGACTAGAGATTGCATTTACTCCAGCAGCAGAAGCAGTGCCAAAGATCCGAAACTAACATTTCAATTTTAACAATGATGCTTATTTCCTTGATATATTCTCTAGAGCGATTTTTTTATACAATAAGATTTTATTTGTCGCGGAATAGGTCGTACTCCTTTGTTTATCTCTAACATTCATTGTATTTTTTTTTTTGGAGAGATAAAGACATAAGTGTCATTGATGCCGGCGGGATCGAATCAGCTTATGCACTGTGACTTTTACGGCCATCGCTTACTTAGCACCCTTCCTACCACGCCTCCTATTTCGTACGAGTATACTTGTACCATTAAAATATATTCTGCGCAACTGATATTTTTAATTTATTTAAATTTAGTTAATCTCAGTTATTCTATGACGTTAATAAATATTTTAAAAACGTATGTGAAAAATAAATGCCTAAAAGATCCACATGAGCTTTACGTTTGCGGCGAATGCGCCAAATAAATCTAATTGTAATGGTTAATTAATTAAAGAGATTAACGACTGATTCGGACTAAATTTACCACTAACACTTTACGCTCATTCGGAAAATGGACTTTTATCTTTTTATGATTCTGGCTTTGAGGTTGTGTGTATTAATGTCTTTCAAAGACTATAAATTAACAAACAAACACAGCTATAATCTAGTTATTTTTATTTTCATTCATTCTTTACTGCCTATGAAAAGCCCCTGCTGAACATAGACCTCCGCCATAGATTACACCAGAGAAGAGGCATTTGCAATAGTTGCCACACTTGTTAGGTGTGCTGGCAATAGTAGTTTCTATTTTTATTATTTCGAGGTGTGATCAGGAAGACGATGTTGCCCATTTTCTGTTTTATTCCGCTCTATCGCCTCTGAAGACACCCACGGGATTATAATATGAGGTAGTGGATACTTTTACGCCGCTTTAACTTTATATATATTATTATAAGCGAAATACCGCTGACTGACTGACTCATCACTAGATCTCTAAAACCATACACCCGATTGACTTGAAATTTTTACTCATTTCGCAATGTAGACGCTCAATAAGACCGGGTTTTACAAAAGTCCCATCAAAAAAAAATCGAAACGAAACGAGCTGGTATCAGCTAGTTTATAATATGTATAAGATAAATATTATAACCATATTATATACATATATTTAACGATTGTTTTACATACACGTTAGAGCCACGCTGCAGCTATATTATTGTTGTAACACGAATGAGTCGGCTCGACAGGCGTAAAATAGCTGTTTAATGCTGTTGTGTTTCGCGTATGGTGAGTGTAGAGAACTGGAAACACTTTTTTACTGGAAAGAAGGCATTTATTCTTAGTCGTCAGGGGTGATAACGCGTCTACATTTTGATTTTTAATCGAGGATAAAAATGTAGATGTTTATGGGCCACAGCATCCACTTAATGTATTTAAAAAAAAAACATATATTTATATTAAAAATTGAAAATATGAAACATAATTTTATTAGAAATATTTAATTAGAAACTGAGTATCATGTATGACAGCTAAACTTATTATAAAATTAATTTAATGTTTTAAACAAATTCAAAGAAAACAGCCTTAAAGATGTCACTTGTCACAAGTTGGAGAACAGGACCCAAAAGTTTGTTACGAATATAAATTCTGTAGAACAAAAATGTCAGAATTTGTGCTTGAAGGTATAAGTTAATAACAAGGGATATTACCTTTTTCTTTATTTAGAGCAACATCCATTCAGTTCGTGAATTATATATCATGTAAAATTTATTAAACACCATTCATAAATTAAATTTGGAACGATATTGTCGAAGGAAAGGGTCGCTGTCGGGTGTACTTAGAGAGTCCTATATAATATTGTGGTCTTTTTTCTAGTAATGCGTGCTACAGAGTTTATTTTTCTTTAAAAAAGGTGTCACAGGTCATAATATGGACAAATGAAAATCTAACGCTTATAACAAATTTTTAGAAGATAAAGAATAACGAAATTTTCTGACCGTAATCAAAAAACTGCCTGATAAGTCTTGGACTTGGGTCTCATTTTATAAACTTAGCAATAATTTTACTGAAGGCAAATTGTTATCATGTGGCTTGACTTGAATTAAAAGCCAGGTATTGCAGTGCCCAAACTTTCAGTTTTTATAGGATTATGGTAACAAACGAGCACACAGTCCACCTGATGGTAAGTTGTTGCTGTGGCCCATAGACATCTACATCTATCCTAGATTACGAATCAAAATGCAGATGCGTTGTCACCCGTGAGAACTAAAATGGAATGCCTCGTTTCCAGTAAAAGGGTCTCCGGTTCTCTACACTCACCACCACGGTGCAGGAGAATATCTTACTGTGAGGATAACTTTTTTTTAATTAAATAAATACATGTACCATAACTAGCACTACATAAATATAGTTAAAGTAAATTACAGTAACGATGCTTATGGAAATAATAAAATAAAAAATTTTGTACAACCGACTTCAATATAAATTATTAAGAATAACTCAAAAACTATTGGTCAGACCTTAAACAATTTATATGGATCCACATGCGAAGCACTAGCTGTCAAATAAAAAAAGAATAGTCGAAATCGGTTCACCCAGTAAAAAGTTATTAGGTAACACGCATAAAAAAACATACAGTCGAATTGAGTACCGGCTCCTTTTTGAAGTAGGTAGAAAAGCGTCGTTGCTAGGCTGCTTGGTGAATGTTGAACTGATACCCTTATACTGATAGCGTTGCTCCCTTGGAGTATTTATAAGCAAGACAAGCTTATTTTTACTCTAAGCTTACTCCCACTTAAATTGCAGACGAGTAAAAATTTTTGTTCATCGTTTTGGAGTTACTCATCATTAATCGTTCGCTGAAGCGTCCAGGTGAGGAATGGTTACTCAAAGAAAACTCACTTAAAAAAAAGTTAAAGAAAGAACTAAAACTAATAATTTCCACATAATAGCTTCATTTGTCAGTGCTAAGACATATTACATAAAAGTATTAAAGCCACTTCTGAAACTATGAAGTATGTGGATTTATTTTGTCCTTAAAATATGGTACTACTCCTAAAGTATAACTTATTTAATAAAAAAAATAAAAGAAGACCATAAAAATCTGTTTGCAACTGACGAAGAAATTGTGAATGAAATGAACAAAAAAATTAAGTATCTCCTAATTTTCTTTTAAGTCGAATAACTAGTTGGCACATGCCCCCTTACACCACACCTAAATAACCGAAGTTATAATTCTACAAATTTTCAAAGCAAGCACTAGCTAGCGAACTTGCGCAAATAAACTGAGAAATGTTTTTGGTATTGTTTGGCGACCGACCCTCGCTTCTTATCCTAAGGTTGACAGTCAATTCGTTTGCCTGTTTTGTTTTAAAAAGTACCTCTAGTTGCATATTTCTTGTCCAGTGGCACAATTTTCCAACATTTTTCTATATAGTTTTTTTTTTTAATCACAGGCGCTTGATACACGGGTTGTCAACGGAATATTTTATTTTCTTATTGATTATTATTGTTATATTTCATTGTAATACACAATAAACAAAAACGGTTGAAAAGGTTTCATAATATCTTGTTGACACTAACCTTGAACGTCCAGCAGCGGGTTGTACTTCAACGGTCCGAGGTAGAACACGAGGCTGTTACTCGCATGCGACGTTACCGTCAGAGTGACATGACCCTCGTGGCACGCTGGTGGCGACGGGTACATGGCCCAGCCGTCGCCATGGAAACCAATGGATGTTAGCTCGCAATGCGGCCCCGATAGGCCTTCGGGACATTCGCATTTGTCAGCAAATGGGGTTCCTGAGAGAAAAAATAATACATTATACATATTACGATTTTCTGAGAGACAAAATTCGTCAAACTCCAAATATAGTATGGTATCAGTTTAGCATTCGCGGTTTAGAAACTAACTGCAGGTCTTGGAACCGAATGCATTGGTAGGGACATGTTGATAAATCCCTATCCAAAGATTTATTACTTCACACAATTGTCTACAACGGTATTGGACCCCAAAAACAGCAAATATTTATTATTTTGAGCTGTTGTCAGGAAGATGCTGCCTGTATCCTGTTTAAGTTTCCCTCTGTCGCCTCTTATGACACCCACGGGATGCTATGAAGTCCCTAAATAAATAAAACGAAAAAATCACTTCTTCATCAACAGCCCATATAAGTTTACATTTGGACATGGGACTCCCAAATTGTATGGAGGAGTCTTGTTTTGGGATCGTCTTTCCAGACCTTTCACGCTGCTCCCTTCCGATCATGCTGACATTTTTATATGTTGTATTTTATACTAGACTGCTAAATGGTAACACTGCCATCTATTGGACATTGAAGTAATATGTACTACGTAATAAAAGAGACGCTGTGACGCGGACTTTGCAAACGATGCAACACGCATTATGGCTCAAAGTTACCTAGTAGTCTGTGCCATAAAATGGTACTTACTCTGTGCCTTTTTTTAGAATAAGGGTGACGAAGAAGCACATAGTCCACCTGATGGAAAGTGAATGATGTGGCCCATATACATTTACATTTATCCCCAATTAAGAATCAAAATGCAAATGCGTTGTCACTCCTGAGGACTAAGATAGAATGCCTCATTTCTAGTAAAAAGGGTCTCCGGTTCTCTACACTCATCATACGAAACACTGCAGCATTGAGCTGCTTTACGCTGGTATTCTGTGCGAGCGTGGTCCTACCCCGGTCGTGCCGCCGACCTATTCGTGCTACTATCATAATATAACTGCAGCGTGGCTCTACTATATATAAAACCTTTGTTCTTAATGGTCTGTTATAGTATAAGCCGCAGCACGTAAGTCTAGCGGTGTACGTTATTGCGCATATTGTGGGGTAGTAAGCGGGTCGCGGGGCGAACGTGCGTATCGTTCGCACTTAGTCGCATTCCGTTCCCCGTACTGATACGTGATACGTGCGCGACAGTACCCATGCGCAGCTATCCCCTCCACGTTTCGTTCAGCGCTAGACTTACGTGCCGCGACTTGTTTACTAGTAAATATTACTTCAATGCATTTGGACGACTTTTGATATTTCTGACGTTTCCAATAGACAACTTTAACACTCAAAGGATGACATGGGGTGATTGATAGATTCTCTTATACCGCCAAGTCACGACAACTTCATCACCGTTTGCATTATTCCTAAAGCGACTTCTTGATTGTCACAAAACGATATAAACATCTTTTTTCTCCTTTATTCAATTTACTCTAATAAAACAAATCCATGACAAAACTATTGTGACATAAAACATTAAAAATAAAAGAATAATTCGATTATCAGTATTAAAGTGAGTAGAATTGACGGGTTGTTCTTTATATCACTGTAATAACAGCGGTTTGAATGGTTTCAAAAGTCAATTAAGTATCGACAACTCTATTTAAAACTTCATATAGCGGTTATACGATATAATAGCCTATAATCGAAACGTAATCCCTAACTGTCTTTATTAAACGTTTGTGGCAACGTTCTCGTAATTCGATTTTATGTTAAGCGAGTTTGTGTACTGTTATTAAATTGTTATTTGTTAGCTAACTTTAGAAATTTCATTGTGGAATTCGCTACGAAGTAACCCAACTCCGGTTGCAACTGAATCCCTGTGTGCCGCTATCTTTACGCGATTATGTCGAGCTGAGTTTACGAGATACCTAAGAGGTTCATACGATGCGATTCAAGCTTTATGTTATAAGAAGTTTATTAAATAGTAGAAGTTCATTAATTCTACACTAGCGACACCTAATGCTTCTGTTTTGAAACTTTAACACATCGTTGTAGGTACTATTGGTTTAATTTTCACCGACATTAAAGAACCTTTCTGTATAACATAATATATATAATAAAAATTAAGTCGTGTTTAGTCAGCACACACCTAAGTCTACAGTACATCTACAATATACAATGGAGCAATTTGGTCTCGAGTCAAATGTGATGACAAAACAATTTAAATATCGCTTATATTAAATAGTAAACACTAGTCTAGTCATATAGTACCTAAATGATCTAAGGTCTCTAATTACTAAAGTTGGAAGACAACGATGAGACAAAAATATATAGATACTTTTAAGCATTAGTAGTCAAGGCCAAAACGATATATATCTCTATATATTTTAGTCCACCAAAAGCAGCTTTATTACGCCCTTTAGGCTATCATAAATTATTATTACAAATAAAAGTTCTCTTACAATGGAGGACTCTTAAAAGTCGAGCGGTCTATATTGGCTTATTGTGTAACGGTAATAAACCTTTCTTACTGAAACTGCGAAGTGACTGGGAGAAGTAGGATTTTATTTTTTTATCAATATAATATTTGAAAGTATCATAAAAATTAACAGAGGTACTTAAATTAGGCATTATGCAATATAAAACGGGTTACATTGTGTCTGTATTAATAAGTCCTTGCTTCTATTTGTCTGGTACGATTTAGTCAAGCATTGGGATCTAAACGTCGTAACCTAAGGCAAATAGATTGTCACCTCATACAGTCAGTCCTAATATATTATTCTAATACTTATACGAACAAATTAAAAAAAAAACTAAGAAATTTATACCAAGCGGGTATATCACAGTTTAGAAATGATTGTACATTATAGGACAACAAAAGAAAGTTAAAGAAGAGTAAATAATACAATTTGAGAATATCGATCCTTACCTCCATTCAAACAAATGAGCGGCTCTTCGACATCGCAAGTGCACTCTGACTCCACTCTAGCAGAAACACCCACAAAACTCGTGGTGTTGGTGTAAACGGAGAGCGGGACGTTATTCTTCATCAGGACGTTACGACACGAATCCTCGCATTGCTCCTTCTCTATCAGACACTCGTCGATCTTCACCATGTAAATTTTCGCCTGCAAATCTTCTTCGAGCTATCAGAGAAAAATAATTTTAATAACATGGATATTACTCAAATAAGCTATTTTGGAAATCATTTAACTAGAATGCAACATCCGAACAAGAACCGGGGGAGGATTACAGTCGTACAGAATATTAGCGTTTGAAACAGTACAATTTTGTTGTTTCGTATGGCAGGTGAGTGTTGAAAATTTGAGATCCTTTTTACTGGTAATAACAACTAGACATTTAATAACATATTATAAAATACATTTCTATTGATTCAAAACTAAATATCATCTAACTAAATTCAAACTAAATGTCATATATTAAACATAGCCTGGACTCAAGCTACTTCACCTATAAAATTTGGTGGTATTGGTGTAAGAAATCTTTCTAGCGTTGCATTGCCTGCTTTCTTTGCTTCAGTGTAGTGTCAGTGACTTGTATAACATAATTTTAAATAATAAAGTAGACCTGTGCATTGCTGCGGAGGCAAGGCAGACATGGCAAATGCTCTCTGTCCCGGCGACAATGTTCCACTGGAAGTTAACCAACAAAAACAGTGGGATATATTCCTTTGATACGGAGTGTGCAGAAAGTTTTTCCTTTTTTTTTTTCACCATAATTTTATAATTTGTTTCATAATTTCCATAGACACCAAGATCAGGGCCGCCTTCTAGCTGTTTCGATCAAGAAATTTAATTTTCATTTACACGTTTTACCATCATGTAATTTCGGCCACATTACTTGATTTATTTTTTTAATAGGAGAGGATGACAAACGAGCACACAGTCCACCTGATGGTAAGTGGTTGCTGTAGCCCATAGACATCTACATTTATCCTCGTTTGCGAATCAAAATGCAGATGCGTTGTCACCCGTGAGGGCTAAGATGGAATGCCTCTTTTCCAGTAAAACGGGTCTCCGGTTCTCTACACTCACCATACGAAACACAGCAGTGTTAAGCTGCTATTTGACGCTGGTATTCTGTGAGAGCGTGGTCCTTCCCCGGTCGAGCCGACCCATTCGTGCTACAACTATACTACTAATATAGCTGCAGCATGGCTCTACCACGTAAAAATGCGGATGGGGAAAGCTTGCGCATCGCCGTAAGAATCCAACTAGGAGCGACGATTTGTCAACCTCATCAGATCCCCTGTGGTAGCAGCGTCGATGAGTTTGGGGTCCACGGACTTTCATGTATAAGCAAAGTGCTGGTAGGTTTTCACATCACGGTTCTTAAACGATGTTAACCGAAGAGCTCCTGTCTCTATAAATGTTCCCTCGGTTTTAGAGCCTTGTGGAATATTTAGAGACGACGGCAGGAGACCCGACGGTGTGACTTCGATCCCTTGGAAGAGAGGTAATAAAGCACTAGTGTGGGATGCTCCTTGCGTAGACAGCCTCGTTTAGAGCCAAGATCACAGGCACCTGAATTCCGTAAGTGGCACAAATATGAGTCTCTAAGAGATGACTACATATTTGTGCCATTTGATGTAGAGAAAATCGATCCGTGTGGTCTACGTGCCGTGAAGTTCCTAAAAGAACAGTACCGGTTTATGACTGGTCGTCGCTGCTGGAGATAAGAGGGCTGGTTCTTTTCTCGCTCAAAGGCTAAGTATAGCCATTTAACGAATAAACGTAGCCAGCGTTCTTGACACGATACCAAATTTTTCTCTATTTTAGTGTTTTAATACATGTATATATTTCAATCATATGTTAAGAAATGTATTTTACAAATTTCAATGTAAACTTGAGCTCGTCATTAAAACCGAAGATAAGAAAATAATAACGGTTCCTTTTCTGAAATGACAACCCCAAAACTATGAAAAGATACAATTCCCAATAAAAACTGTTATAAAATACTTAGGTACCCGTTGATTGTATTTCTACGTATTAACAAATAACATTATGTGACATAATATAAACGCTCAATAGTTAACAAGGCCAAGTTATTATCTCTTTAATGTTAATAAACTGTACATGAAGCTCCGGAGGTAATCGATTCACTCCAGTACAGTGTGCGTCCAACGAGACGGATTGTTTGAAGGCAAATATTGGTGTAGGAGTTTGCGTCAACAATACATAGGTGGTGTTTGTATGATGTAATGGGCCTTTAGAACTTGGACGGGTGCCTCTGAAGCTGAGTACATGTCGATTAGTGAGAAATTCCAGTGGGAAGAAACATACTGTAGGATAACAATGAATGTAAATAAAAGGTTCGTCGATGTCGGGTAGATTAGACGGATTTGAGTCTTGTAACCCGATCGAAACAACATAATAAAGTGTATTGTAGCATTATAAACGCTTGGGGTTTTATTATTACTTGTGTATATTTTGTTGACCTAGCCTTTCTTTATTGAATAGAGGCTTGATTCGTTTCGCTCTTAACTAGTGCTCTCTGTATGTGTAAATAGACTTAAATTTATAACATATTGTTTACGATTTAATTACTCGACAATGTTGCGTATTAATGAAATTAAAAAAAAATATCTTTTAGTTTACAATACCGGGAGTAACAAGAGGGAATGTTTGATAGCGCCGTCGTAGTAGGGAGTTGGAGATGTCCGTGTCATCTTTAGGTATATCATTAGCTCGTTTGTCCAAATAATATTACTAGGCGGGAGGATTCCTTTGCTGCATGGGAATTCTACATGGCAATGGGTAGGTACCACCTTCTTAGTTATTTCTACTGCCAAGTAGCAGTGCTTACACTGTTGTGTTTCGGTTTAAAGAGTATGGAATGGAATATGAAGCATTCCATCTTGGTCTTCAGAGTTGACAACGCATCTGTGGCCTTCTTTGTTTGAAGAAGGCTGCAGGAGTCTATGGACTGTATGTAATAGCCACTTATCACCAGGTGGACTGTAGGTAGAAATTTGTTTTTTTTTATTATTGATAGATAGATAGATTATATATTGATAAATGACGTGACCAAATCTCTCAAAATGGTGATTTTTTATAGAATAAGGATAACAAGCGTGAACACGTATATGTACATGGTAGGGCCACGCTGCAGCTATATTAATAGTATAGTTGTAGCACGAATGGGTCGGCTCGACCGGGGAAGGACCACGCTCTCACAGAATACCAGCGTAAAATAGCAGCTTAACACTGCTGTGTTCGTATGGTGAGTGTAGAGAACCGAAGACCCTTTTTACTGGAAACGAGGCATTCCATCTTAGTCCTCACGGGCTACAACGCATCTGCATTTTTATTCGTAATCGAGAATAGGTGTAGATGTCTATGGGACGCAGCAACCACTTACCATCAGGTGGACTGTGTGCTCATTTGCCACCCGCATCCTATAAAAAAAGTCCATCTGACGATAAGTAGATGCTGATGCTGTGACCTAAATGCAACTACATCTATCCTCGATTCAGAATTAAAATGCAGATGCGTTGACAACCCTGAGGACTAATATGGAATGCTTCGTTACGAGTAACAACGGCTTTTTCACGATGGTATTCCATGAGAGCGTGATTCTCTCAGTTCGAGCCGATCCATTCGAATCACAGCCACATAAACTCCAGCATGCCGATACCACGTAATAATGACGCTAGTTCTCCAGCGCAATAGACTGAAAAGACTAACATAGAGGAGAATAAGAACATTGACTTTCTTCTTTCGTCATCAGTCCGTAAAACTCCAGACATAGGCCTCCATGTAAGGAGGATTTACTATGTCACCACACTTGACAGAAGGCTTGGTCATATTTGACGCTGCTGCATATCGCCAACCTGGGTAATTTGCGTTTACGTCTGGTGTAAACGAGATGTATATACTAAAATCTGTTGGAAGCCATGAGATATTTCTAGCATTTCTTTTCTAGGATAAAATCGGATAATGGATTTATGCCGTCATCACACGGCAATCTAATAAAATAACAGTAGCCCAATATGGTGCGGACTGCAAACTCAGACGAGTTGTGGGTTCGAATTCGCCATTCGACTACTGTGGTGAATCACTCTTAGCACAAGCATTTATAAATTTACTTAGAGCATTAGTAATGTACATAGCGCAACATTTTTTTTTGTAGAGATGTCATATAAAGTAGACGTACCTTTTCTTGAATCCCAATGACCATACTATCCAATTTCTCAGCGGGATAGTATGGGGATCCGTGAGCCGAAAACCGGACATCCAAAAATACATCCTTGACGGTTGGCTTGCTGAATACAGTGAACACGTCAACATTGTCCATTGATGTATTGTAGAGCTGAGCGAGACGACGATGTAGTTTGTCCTTTTTACTTGTACCCTGCACCAAATAGTACATAATTATGTTAGTTGTACAAAAATCACTACAATTCATTCCTATATTTCAAATTCCACTGCTAAACATAGGCCTCCCCCAAAGAACGCCTCAAAAGGGGGGAATGTTATTTCTGATAATTACTGATTATTTACTTTTTTGTTAAAATGAATACCTAATCGCTAGAGTAAGATTTTGTAAACAATTTATAGTAATAATATGAATGAATGACAGAATATACTACTATTATACACCACAAAACAAAAAGACCCAGGAAATTGATAATTAATGCCTTTAACATTTCCTTAAGGCATTATCATTATATTATTTCCTGTGTGTTTATTGGTGACGTTTAAAAAATAGTTTGTAATAGGTTTCATAGCGCCATAGAAACGAAAATTATAATTACTATAGTCGCGGCGTGACCAATGTATGTGGCGAATACGGTGGAAACATAAATTTTAAGACTTATTTCCAGCACAAAACTGAATACAATAATTCCCCCTTCATAATTAAGAGGGTAATATGTAATGGTTACCAAAATTGAGGTAACATTTACGTGTATACAGTCGTGTTTGTGTATGTAAACTATATTAGGACACTATCTTTCTTTTGATATTGTAGAATTCGCAATTGTTATATTTCAACAATTGTTAATCCTAAACGAAAAAATGAAATCCATCATACTTCCTCTTTCAGTGTGTGTCGTAAAATTTGACAAGAAAATAACTAAATAGCTTGTGACCTTAGACAAATGGCGGCAAAATCACCTCGTGTATATGCAACGAGTAGGCACGGGAAAGTTAAGATAAGCGTAAGTAATGGTACTGGACAAAAATCACGAGAAGCAATGAAGAAAAACATGAAGAGGCCTTCGTGAATTAATAATGATGATAAATATTGTGTAACAAGAGAAAAAGGATCACTATTTATTTTGAAAGCCATTTTTACAACCACGTCAAAGTCCCGAAATTGTAGCATAAAGATCACATAGATTACTAGCGAGGAAAATATGTCAAAACGCGTATTTACAATTCCTGGCCGGCATTACCAAAAGGAATTAATTGTCCATCCTAACGCAGCAAGCGACGTTTGACAATAGTTACATGCAAATGTGTTCCGGGAGGTTGGCGGGCATAAATTTGCAAATTAAGGTGGCACAAGTCGCGGGCTCGAACTCGCTGGTGGGCGCGGCGAAAAAGCACGCTGTCTCACCTGGCATCGTGCCCGACAGAGATAGTATCAGTGATGAGCATATCGACACTAGTATTCACGCATGTCTTGTTCGTACGGCATTCAGAACCGTTTGCACAAAAACGAAGTTACACGAACACGATGCAACATCTATACTAATATAATAAAGCAGAAAATATAGATCTTTACTCCGTCTAAAAGAAGTCCGCGATACCATATGTCTATTTTTTATATATAAGCTACAATTAGGCATTTTGATTTTGACAAAAAAAAATGAAAATTTAATTATTAGGCATGACATATTTATCCTTACGAACGAAAGTTACTTCATTATCAAGACAATTTTTTGAAGATAAAGTTCGTTCTTTATACCATGTTTATATAGTACATAGAGAGATAATGTAAAATTAAAATAATTCAATACTTGGCCTTGACGCGCAAACAACGCATAACCCCTAGCCTAGCCCGGTGCGAACTGAGAAGCCAGTATTGAAAGCTTCTATGAGCAAGGTTAGGTTAGCCGTTAGTTCAATCATTATCTATATCTACACAAATAAATAAAATTGAAGTGTGTGTGTGTTTTCAAAATAACAGCTTTTTACTAATTGCATATGAAATTATATACGCTACTTATAACATTAACATAATTTTTAACATTTTTGTATGTCTGTCAGTCTGTTTGTTCCGGTTAATTTCCAAAACGGCTGGACCGATTTTGACGGGACTTTCACTAGTAGATAGCTCATGTTATAAGAAGTAACTTAGACTGCTTAAATTTTAGAAAAATTATTAGGTGTCCGTGCAACAAAATTAACACCCTAAACTAAATGCGGACGAAGTCGCGGGGAACAGCAGGTAGCTAAAATAAATTCAAAATTAACTGAGTGCTTTTATCTATCTCCCAGGTGAGCGTAACAATGATTAGTTACATCTTTATTTCTGAACTCCTTCATTTCACGTTGCTATGGTATTTTGAAAGTTTAATTGATTAATAAGTATAAGAGGTTGATAGCAAATTTATCAAGAATCATTTCTTGCCTACACACTTTCATGTATCGTGTACGTTTTTCTTTAAAACTGGATAAAACCGCGCATAGTATGCCGACAGATAAAATAAAAGTACTCCATTAATTATGACAATTTTTCCATACATTATTATCAAATAAAATATTTGATTGCAATTATAAAATGCTTGAACTAGGTGTCATGTCATGCCACGCATCTCGGACACGTGATGACGCGGGTGAAACCGCGAAATTATTAGGCGCTGCTTTATCGCTTCATATTATACCTCTGTGGCTCTATATACCTAATATAGATTGCTTACTTTATTATGTTTAGTTTTTCCCGAGTGGTCATGCAGCGATCACTCAAGAGTTCGGCTTCGAACGTGTATAACTGCAAAAATTATCCAACGGGAACGAAATACCTGAATAAACGGTATCATATATGTTATTTACAGCTCCGTGGCGCAGTTGCTTAGCAATGAATTGTTGCACTGGCAGCCGCGGGTTCGAATCCCGCACGGAACAAGTATTTGTATGGCCTGCAAATAGTTGTTCCGGGTCTGGATGTTCGTAAACTGCCTCCACGATACAGGAGAAAATCCTAGTGTGGGGGTAACGTTTTTTTTAAAAAATAAAAAAAATAATAAAATTCCAGACTATAACCTATCTCTGAGCAAAATATCATCCAGGTCCCTTCAGCGGTTCTGGTGTGATTGAGTAACATACATCCATTCATCCGTCCATCCAAATATCCAAACTTTCGCATTTATAATATTTAGATAATAGGTAATTGTAATTAGTTCTGCCTACCTATAAATTGTTTTCAAAAATACTTACCTGTCTTCTTACTTTTTTATATATACTCAATATCACTAAATGTAAACACAGGTTTTTATCAAGACAAGTGACCCATCAAGATTGTTTTCTTAGTACTGACCAAAGATGTTTTTAAAACATCTTTGGTACTGACGTAGGTACCTACCTAAAGTTTACAATTTTGTGGCAACGACGCGGTGACGTTTTGTGACATTTTGTTGTATTGTAGGATGTAGGTATCTAGGTAATAACAGTAGGTACCTATGAAAATCCCACATAATGTACCTTGTTTGTCCGCCGCAAGAGTCGTCTAATAAATAATTAAACTGTTTTGTAATTCTTTATTTATTTATAACACTTGCATTGAGAGCCGTGGTAGCTCAGATGGTTAGCGCTCGCCGTAAGTATCACATTACGCGAGCAACCCGGGTTCGATCCCCGTCGGCCCCATTGAAATTGTTGCAATTTTATATAGTAATCGTATATAGACTTTACTTTTTTTACTTTTATAATTATATTATATTACAGACGAAAATTTTACAATATTGTCTGTCATCCAAAACGCATCATTCATCTCTTTCAATTATATCAATTTCCATGCTGTCTTTTGTCTTTGGCGTCCAAATTACAAAATAGCAAAACTTTTCGTTTCGAATTAAACTCGAATAAGCGCGCGTCACCGCCCGTGCATGTGTGTGTAAGTACTCTTTCAGAGTGGAGGCGGGCGCGGGTGCTAGCGCGGGCGCGTGTAAATCAAAATGTATGTAGACGCCAGTTGCATTCAGAGTGCTCCCGCGCGCCGCGCGTCTGCATGAGGTGGGTGCGGGCGCGGGCGGCGCGGGTGTTTCTAATGGCTCAGTCCGCTCGCATCGTTCACAGTGAATTAGCGTCTGTTAGGTGACTACGCCTGTGGTTCTAAACCGTTTTGATTCACCCGCCGAAGCGTCGTCAATCATGGATATCAATACTGAAGAATTTATATCTGCAGTACAACATCGCACTGCTATTTGGCAGAGCAAACATCTGCAACATTTAAATAGGATGGCCATAAATAAATTATGGGAAGAAATAAAACAATTGTTTCCTGGAAGTAACGGTTAGTTTATTTTCATATAATTGTTAAAATTACAGATTATAACTACCTATAACTTTAGAGTAGGTAGATATGTACGTGCTAGTTTAATGTGTAGGTAGGTACTAACAAACAACAAATTAATCTACCTATCAACATTACATATGTTTAAACTGAAAAATTAATAGGTATGTTCATAAAAGTAATTCATAAACTTGTCACGAATTATTTTTGCTTGTCTTGTAGGATTTCTATCCGAGTTACGCATTACATTTTGCATGTTATTATGGTTGAATTCGGCTGTAGCCCAAGTATGACAATCTGGATCAGCGTCACCATCTAAGTCTAGTATAATATTATGTAATAAACATGTTGTTTTAATAATCAAGCAAGCGTTCTCTCGACTGGTTTCAATAGATTTTTGTAATATCCTCCATTTCGTGCTTAGAATACCGTAGGCACATTCAATTGTTTGCCGCGCTGTAGATAATCTTCTGTTAAATAGTCTTCTTTGCACGTTCAATGTGCTACGTGGAAAGGGTCTTAACAAATAATTTTTCAATGAATACGCTTCATCAGCTACGAGCACGTAAGGGGCAATTATGTTTGAATGTGGTAACTTTTCTGGTTTTGGAATGTTGAATTTATTTTCCTCTATTAAATGGCGCAAAACAGAAGCATGAAAAGTACCACCATCGCTTTGTTTTCCTCGTCCACCCACTTCAATTGCAATAAATTTCCTTTTCGCATCGGCTACTCCTTGAAGTACTATCGAATAAAATTTTTTATAATTAAAATCAAGAGATCCACTATTTTTTTGTTTTTTAATTCGACAGTGCTTTCCATCTAGACTGCCTATGCAATTAGGAAAATTCCAAAGTCTATAATAATCTTCCGCTACCATTTTAAATTGTAGT